GCTGACATCAGGGATTCAAAGACTAACGATATCCCCCCCCCCCATGTGTCCCCTGCTGAGCATGTTTACATGCAATATGGTTATATACTGATAACTACCAAAAATCAGCTTACTAAAATAACCCTTTTTACCAGTTTATATGCAAATCAATAACCCGGCAATGCAAGAAATTTTTTTTTACAATACTTTTTTTTTTTTTTTTTTAATCAAGGAGGGGGTAATGGTTGACTGGCATGCATGCATTTACTAATGAGCATATTGTTTAACAGATGAGCTGTTAACAAGGACTATTTTGTAGGAGTCTTTGGGTATCTGACATTTGGGAAGAACGTTGCTCCTGATATTTTGATGTCGTACAGTGGGAGTGATGTGACCATGATCGTTGCCAGGCTGCTGTTTGGAATCTCAATCATCACCATCTACCCCATCATTATCTTGCTTGGAAGGTATACAGCAAACTGTCTTATGGCTATTAGGAGAAGAGTTACTGTACATCTATAGATTAATTGACATGTCTGTGTGTGTAGATCTGTGATTCAGGATCCACTGCTGCGGCGACGACACAAACACACAGCGGTGACAGAGTCTTACGAGAGCCGGACCCGTGTTGCCTTGACCACAGTCTGGGTCACAATCACTCTTCTCATCGCAGTGGTTGTTCCAGACATTAGCAAAGTGATCAGTGTTGTCGGAGGAGTCAGTGCTTTCTTCATCTTTATATTTCCAGGTAATTGTGTCTCTTCTGGAATCAGCTTCCAGAAGAGATCAGATGTGCTAAAACATTAGTCACATTTAAATGCAGACTCAAAACTCATCTGTTTAGCTGTGCATTCATTGAATGAGCACTGTGCGATGTCCGAACTGATTGCACTATATTCTATGTATAATCGTTTTCTTAAATTCATTTTAAACTTCTTAAATCAATTGTTTTAATCATTTTCAATGTTTTTAAATTCCTTGTTTTATTGTTGTGATTATTTTTTTTCTTTTCTTTTATGTAAAGCACTTTGAATTACCATTGTGTATGAAATGTGCTATACAAATAAACTTGCCTTGCCTTGCCTCTTTTGATTTCTTTTACAATGCCACATGATGTGTGTTGAAAAAAAAAATTGTTTCTATATGCCATAATTTATTAAATTAAAAATGAATATTCACATTCATAGAGGGGGGTCATGTGTTTTATATTATTATTATGTCATTCTGATTATAAAAATATTCCTCATGATATGACCAGTTTAAATAAGAATAATGGTTTTAGCTTGATTCTCACAACAGTGTCTGTGCGTTTTGATATAATGCGAATCTTGGTAGCATGATGTGTATATTCATATAATTTTGTGTTGATTTGCATTCATTTTTATTAAAGGGCTTTGCCTAATATTTGTGGTGCAGTCAGAGTCAATTTCTCTTGCAATGAAGTGAGTGAAGTGGGATATAAATATCATAGTGCTTTAGGATCCTGTTTTTGATGTTTAATAAAATTCATACTTATTCTTTTACTTTCACAATAACCTTTTGTTTTTATGCTTTGTTTTGTCCCAGATATCTTCTGATCACATGGGGAATGATCATGCTTTTCTGTGGTACCTATATATTTGGCCAGAGCACTTCTATTGCGATCATGCAACTCCTAAGTGATACTTAAATTTCTGTCTGTTACTGTTCAACACAAGGACTTTTAATTGTATGGTATTGTATGGGTTGGCATAATTTTAGACATTGCTCCAATACTTCATGTATGGAATAATTCCTTAAAAATGGAGATTGTTGTACAGATGTACAACTAAATTTGTATGGAATACCTCAGACAAACATGTCATGTAAATCTGAACTATTTATATATTGTCATTTTTTTAAATGTTCTGCTATTTTAATGGCCAATGTCACATTGGGACAGATGTGAGCTTAGTTATAATAAAAGAATATAGGATATGAAATTAGAAAAAGAGCTGAAGTTGTGTGTTTATATTTGGACTATTCTTTAGGTCTCATCGGAACCACTTTTGTACACATAAGCAAATTTGTAAATTAATAAACACATTTTTATATAAATTGTCTTTGACCAATTGAATGTGACAATGTAAAAATGTTCATTTTTCAGTTCATTCCAACACCCAAGGACTGAAAAAAAGCTGAAAAATGCAGTGACAGATCCTTTTTCAGTACTTTATTGAATAGCAGCACTCTACATAATCTAGAATTTTAACAAATTGAAGACGAATATAATACTTTGCATCCCTGCAATAAATCTCTACACTCACTTATAAGAGAGAAAGTCAGTATACGGAAACATACATGGATATAAGAAGTAGTATTTCATCAAACAATGCCATTAACAGTGACTGCTCATATAGTAAGTTTTATTCATTTCATATATATATATATAGAGAGAGAGAGAGGTTTTTTGTTCCGTTACTGGAGTAATATAAAAGAAAATAAGAAATGCACAAAATCCATTTAAAGTAGCATAGCTAAATTCTACGGCAAATAATTTACTGGACATTCATTTGTTACATGCACTCACTGTGAAGGATAAACAAACCAAACAGAAGGCAGGAGTGGTGGGAAAGCAAACGGAAAGAAACGATGCAGTTTGGGCCGTGTTGGTTTTGAGTTGTTTACACATTGAGCCAACCAGAAATTCACACAAATACAACAGCCTTTGAGTTACTGATCAACAAATGAGAGATGTGGAAGTCTGACCCACTTTGAAAAATCCTCTACTATGAGGACATTTTTTTGCTTGTCCTGAGAAATGACATGATGCCAAATGTTCAATTGTAGAGAAGCAATAAAACTGATGGAATAAGAATTTAATGCCACTCTCTAACTCTGTGCACTCTTCCTAGATCCAAATATTATCTTTCAAAAATGATCAACATAAAATATTCAATATAATTCTGTTATTACTCAGGATATTATCTACTCTCTACCAGCAAATCTCATTTACATAAGCATTTCATCTATACTTCAGGTACATTGTGCTTTTGGACCAGATGTTTATTTGGTGTGTTGTAAATGTAGGCCCTTTGACTGGCAGAATGCGTCATGGTCATGTTTTGACAAAAGTACCAGTCTCTCTACGTGGCTCAGTGCGTTACACAAATGTGTCATGAAGATACAGTTCAAAGCACTTATAACACTATAACTAATATCAAATGACCTTTACAGAAACACTATTGTCCATGGACGGCTGTAGAAATACTTTGCTGCACAGTTTTTGTCTTCTCAGAAGTTGTACCATAGGGAACTGTTTGCAAAGCAGCGGATGCATCTTTGAATTGGGATGAAATATTAATCAGCCTCATTTCGTTTGAAGACACTGTTTATGCAAGTTGATATTTCAAATGCAAATGCGAATCAACCAGGTGAAGTTCCCAAAAGCTCTGGGGAGTTTTAATGTCGTTTCTGTGTGTTGCAGTGGTGGGTGAAGAGGGAATCGGTACTGTGTCTGGTGTTCTCTGCAGCCGACACTACTTTTGGCTCAATATCATATGGATACTGTGTAAACAAGTAACTACAAAAAGAAGGAGACAGAGTGGGGAGAGCACAAGAGAAAGGGGTGGGGGTAGTTAAGATAGCAGGGACTGTGACAGAGGGAGGAAGAGGTGAAGAAGAGAAGGTTTTCAGGCATAAGGCGGGACCATTCCACCTGCAGACCGGCTCGCTTCTCAGTCTCTGTTCAAGCTGCACCAGGCGGCTAGAAAGAGAGACACAGAGTCAGTGTCAGTATTAAAGAGATAAACAGTAAATGTTTAATGCCCCAGCTTCCTTTCTTTAGGTTTATACAAATATGTCAACCGACATTTTAGACAAATAATTTCTGTTGCGGTTATGCAAAAGGAACCACATGAGATAAAGTGTTTCGATTATGCGATGGAAGGAGTACTGGAAATTGTAATGGGGAATCAAAGCAGACCTTCACTAAAAAAGAGAAAAAAACCAAACAGTTTGCTTGTGTCATATTAGTCATTCCTGAACAGATGAAATATATAAAATATTTATAATTAGTTATTTATTGATACAGATTATTGCAATTGAGCTATTGAGATTTATTGCAATATTCATGACTTTTTAAATAAAAAAATCTTCAATATGTGATATTTTTAACAGTTTTTTTTTCAATAGTTTTAAATAACTTCTTTAAAATGTTATATATTAAATATATAATTTAACATACACACACACTTACATTTTTTTGGTGCTATACAGGCCACCGTGTTTTAATCCCTATTTTTTAAATCAAATAAATATTTTTTTAAATTTGTGTATATATATAAACAAATTCAAAAATATTGATTATCTCTCACTCTCTCTCTCTCTCTGTATATATGTAACATGCACTCACTGTGTGTGTATATATATATATATATATATATGAATTTGTTTTCTATCTATCCATCCATCCATCCATCTATCTATCTATCGAGAGAAAGAGATTTACAACTATGTAGGATAATTACACTGTTTGTATATTTTGCAAAAGCTGTCTCCTGACATACAGCTGAAATAAGATTGAGAGATTTCAAACTTCAAAAGATATTAATGCAGAGAATGTCAGAGGACGGGCATGCTGAAAATGAGAGTAATCCTGTAGGGCAGGTAGGAATACTTAATGGCTGTGAAATGTAAGGACATCACCCCAGAGACACAAGACACAAAAAGTAGCGTCAAAGGCTGGCTTGGCACCAATGCCCATAGCAGAGCCTACGGCTGGCAGCAGTGGAACGTACCAGGCACAGCGACAGCAGACACAGCCTCGGGCTGGCACAGAGTATCCACTTTCACATGCTGGAAAGCCTTGCAAGCTGCAGTCTGAACGTGCCTGAGAGAGAAGCAGAGAAGGGTAGAAAAGGAGCAAAAAAAAATTTCCAGCACTGTAATGTCTTTAGATGCAAAATAGCATCAATAATATATTGTTAATGTTTTATAAAAACAAACAGTCAGAATAAAGAAAATAGGGATAATGTGTTATGTGTTACTTCCACCCTATAGAAAACGTAAACAAAACCATAATTATCCACTGTACTGTATGACCCTCCACTTGATGGCAGTACCTCCTCACAATTCCTGCTCTGCTTTTATATTGCCTAAAGGGCTGCAGTTGTAGCAATGATTAGCATTAGCTCAATAAATCAACAGAAGTCTAAACATCAGCCAGTTCAGACAATCACCACACACTCCTCAAACTTTCATTAGAGGCTGCAAAGCTGCAGCAAGTACTGCAGTTTCTGGACTGCTTTCTGGATGGGGAAATGATTCAAGCTTTACTCAATCTTGGGTCGCCCACATGTAACAGAACATGCCATGCCATGTCTCCAGCAGCTGTAGCTGTTTAAAGTCAATGTTAATGGTTTCTGCTATCCATTTTACATCTGTAATTTGATGCATTTAAGACAGATAGATAGACAAGAAGAGATAAGACAGAAGAATAATTTGGATGGTGAAAAGTGGGGATTACATACCAGAATGCAGACTGAATGTGAGCTATTAGACTATTAATTAGCATTACCCGATAGCCTGCATGGCAAAACAGCAGAAAGGAAAAGTTGTTTGAGAGGAAAGTTAGATGAATCCAATGAATCCTTCACAGAATGTGCATTAAGACAGTGAATAGGTTCAATTGTGGTTTCATTTTGACTTTAGTAACTGTACAGGTGTGTTATTGTTGTGAACAACAGCATTGAAAGCCAGTCAGTGGCTTGGTGTTATTGAGTTATAAGAGCGGTTGTAAAAACGAAACACCATTTCAATCCCTGTTCAACTGACTTCAGCATCCTCAAAAAAGGAAACTCTGAATATTTCACAAACAGAACATCATAATAGAGTAATAGAGAGGAGGAAAGTTGAAAGAAATAAGGCAGATAAAAAGGGAGGCTACAGAGATGACAGTTCAGCAGCAATGGGGTATTTGCAGAAGCTTGCAGATGTTCTCGCTGATCAATTATTCACTAGTCTGATGTGAATCTTGACGGCAGTACAAAATGCTGCCACACAAAGCCCTCTCTCAGAGAACAGACTCAGGGAGTTTCCTTGAGAAACACTGCAAAGGACCTACTTTACTCACTGCTCTTACATTAATATTTCATCCTGTGGGGCTGCAAAAAAAATGCTCTCAGTTGTGGTCTGACCAAAAATTTCAAAATGAAGCAACTACCGTTCAAAAGTTTGGGGTCAGTAAGACTTGTTTTAATGTTTGTGAAAAAGGTCTCTCATACTCATTATGACTGCATTTATTTGATCAAAAATACAGTAATAACAGCAATATTGTTAAATATTATTACAATTTAAAATAACTGGTTTTAATTTTAATGTATTTTAACATTTAAATTATTCCTGTGATGGCAAAGCTGATTGATGTTTTCAACAATTAATCATTGTTGAAAACATTTGTGCTGCTTAGGATTTTTTCGTGGAAAAGGATGAATTTTTTTCGGGATTCTCAGGATTCAATGTCTTTACTGTCACTTTTGATCAGTTTATTGCATCCGTGCTGAATAATTGAAGTATTACTTTCTTAAAAAAAAAACTTGCTGACCCCTTTTGAATGGTGGCAGGGAACACAAACTTACCGATTTTAAAACATTTCAGGACAATTTTGATATTTTAGGGCTTTGTAAATGATGTGTATACTGCAGAAAAAGCAGCAATTGTTTAGCCGGTTTCATAAATAAATGATGAACTAGAATAACAACACTCCCCTCTGCTCGCCTGCCATCTTTATCAACAGGAGGTAAAATGATACAGTGTTGTATTTCCACACATCAGGGATAAATACACAATGTTGAGACATACATTTATGAGAGATGCATAGGTTCATTCTCTAAGAAATGCATAGCAGTATAGTTTTTGCTACCCTCCAACAGACATTTTGAAATATATGAAACTTCGATAGAACATACATACGCCATTCCCTCAGCAGATAAAAAGTAACTGAAAACGGTTCAGTCTGACATCACAAAAAAGCAAAGAATACTTTTGTACTATCATAACGACTTATCTGGTTGAATTGAATATGATGCATTGAGACACGAGGAGGGAATGAGAAAAACACTCACTAGAAGGTCAAGTTTAAGACAAAACCATGAACTTAACTCACTGGAAACAGTCTCTCTGGGCAGACACATTCTTCAGGTATTGTTTCAGGGCCTCGCAGAACTCTCCCAGCTGCTTCTGGGAAACTTTCATCTCCTGGCGGATCAGGTAAAGAGACTGAAGAAAGAGAAAGAGAGCAACAGGAACGCTTTGAATATTATTAACATTTGTCTTGATGTTAATATTCACTTAATATTCTCTTTAGGCAAAATAAATAAATAAATAAATAAAACCAGACATATTTAGAGACTCAAATCACAGCAGAAGGGTTCAAGAAATCATAAGTTATAAACACTTAATTCTAACCCCGTTAAGGAAAAGCAAACTGCCTTAAAGGCTTTGACCCTCATTTACTCAGAGTCATGGTCTATATTGCAGATGAAGGGTTATGAAAGATCTGCATATGGTTACTCCTTTAGGAGAAGGAGAAATAAATATGATGCATACCAGACTGTAAAATCAATACAGCTACTCTTTTGGATCGTCGCCTAAGTAACTAATTAATTCCCAGTGTACTCAGTAAATGATGTAGAATTGTGGGAGTGTGGTTGGCTACCAAATAAAGTACAGTACTGGCTTTAAAACTGGCCTTTGCAACAAGCACCGAAAAAAAAATTCATAACATTTCCAGAAGGAACAATCTAGAACTTAATGGAAATGAAAATGAACCTCTTCTGACTTGTCTATTTCACATGATTGCACCTCTCGTGTAACACGTCACTCAAAGCCTCCCACTCCTTTCTAAATTGGTGCTGTCATCTTGAACCAATTTTATTAAGTCTGAGAGATTTGATTAAATAACTGATATTACCTTGCAACAGACTAAGAAATGATAGGTTTAAATGTAATATTTGCTTGGCGGACTATTTCCACACTGCAGAGCACCCTGAGGAGCCTAACGTGTTGATTAACATCTGCACTTATATGCTGAAAATCATAAAAGTTTATGATGCCTATATGCACATCATTTCAACCTGAAGCAATATTCTCTAAAAAGTTTATAATGCACCACAGTTCAAAAGTTTGGGGTCAGTAGGATTTTTAAAAATGAAATGAATACTTTTATTTAACAAGTATAAATTAAATTAATCAAAAGTGTCTGTAAAAACATTAAGTTACAATAGATTTCTATTTAAAATAAATACTGTTCTTTTAAATTTTATATTCATCAAAGAATCCTGAAAAAGTATTATGGTTTGCACAAAAATGAGCAGAATAACTGATATATAAACATTAATAATAAGAAGAAATGTTTCTTGAGCACCAAATCAGCATATTAGCATGGTTTCTGAAGGATGGTGTGACACTGAAGACTGGAGTAATGATGCTGAAAATTCAGCTTTGCAATCACAGGAATTAATTATATTTTAAAATAGTAAAACAAAAAACAGCTATTTTAAATTGTAATAATAGTTCACAATATTACTGTTTTTACAGTACTTTTGATCAAATAAATGCAGCCTTGGTGAGTGTCCCCAAACTTTTGAACAGTTGTGTATATTATCCTATAACCAGGCCCACCGCACCTGGTAAACTTTGCAGAATTATTTAGCCTTAAATTATTTTCCCTAACAGAAAAGTCTTCCGATTCAGTTTGGGTTTGGCTATAACTTTTGTATGCCATATTACAACCAAACAACCTCACCGCAACAAAAATCATAACTTTACAGGAATTAAATAGTGAAGAAAGGGTATGTTTTTAGAGAAACCAAGGTGTATTTTTTGTATGTACGGTGCGTTCCAAACGGGATATATCGCCCTCCGAAGGGCACTTCAGAGTGAAAACAAACATGGCCGCCATATTGAAGAGTCGTTCCAAACCGAAGTGCTCAAAACTGGCCACTTCAAAGGGCCCTTCGGAATGAAGGATTTTGAAGGGTACAACTGATGGACACTTCGGTTCTACAATTCTTGGCATGATGACGGCGCCTCCGTGTGGGCACGTGATGATGACGCAGAAGGGCACTTCAAGGAACAGTTGTTTGGTCCCCTACACCCTTCAACCATTCGAAGCTCTCACTTCGGAGGGTAAACCCTTTGAAGGGATTAAGGGCATAGGGATGAGCCTTTCCGAATGAAACACAGGGGTAGTGTATGCTATAACTAAGGTGTCACATCTTTAATAGACCATGTGCTGTTCCCCGGCAGGTGGGAAAGATAAAACCCAAGCGAAAACCATTAGGCCCTTTGATTTGACAGCCGTCCTGTTCCCCGAAGGGGAGGGCAATAAAAGAGCAGAAGCGTGGTAATAAACCCTGAACTTAATCAAGAGCACTATGCCACCCAACACTAGCCAGAATGCAATCAGAAACACTACATTACCCAACCTACACAAAACTCAATAAGTATCATTGTGTTTTCCCATTCTCCTCCACTGGAGGCCTGATCTGATGGGTACGTACGAATAATTAGAGGAACGCACGAGGATTCGTAATCCAATTTTCTTTGCATTTCGACATGTGGCTGATCCGAATGCGATCTGCAATGCGACCGATTGCACTAATGTCTTTCATTAGTCTTCAGTGTTTGTTTGAACTGCAAGGGTGCTTCATTCAGACTCAGTGCTGTGGAATAAAGTGATAAAACTAAGCTCTGTAGATGAAGCAAATGTGACCCATAGT